GGGTACATGATATTGAGACGCCTTCCTTCTGGCATCAACCTTGACCACTTACTTGGTTCAGGTGGTGTTTGCCAGAGCCCTCCACTGGAAAGATACTATATTCCCTTTTCTTACTCTGTTGGAAGCGAGTCCCTGAGTCTGGCTCACGATCAAGGAGAAGGCAATGAAGCCCCACCCCCAGCTCTGCGGGGTCTATTGCTTATTTGTGACTTCTTGATCTGACAGTGAGAAACCTGGCTCTCATTATCTACACGGTATTTACCTGTTTGTTCACATTTAGTATATATGTAAAATGGCCTCGGAGTTGCTAAGCCATGCCTTGTGGGAAACACATATGCCAAAGTACGGTATTCGTGCACCGTCTTTGCCTCTAGCTTTACAGTAGCTAGTCAAACACCACTGTGCAAAGTTACCTAGGTTGGGTCCTTTCTTCCCCCCTCCCCAGCGTCATTATGTCATGCATTTGTAATCCAAATTTATTCTTAAGTGTTTCACATTTTGTGGTTTTATTTATTGTTAAGCTGTGGTTTTATTTTAAATGAGATGTAACAATGTTAAATTTCTGATTGTTTTGGCTAGTATACAGAAATAGAATTGATTTTTTTGTATTTATTCATTTATTTAATTGTATCTTGCAACCTTGCTAAACTCACTTATTTTTTACGGTAGTTTTTTTTTGTAGATTAAGGAGGATTTTCTATGTAGATGACTGTGTTGCCTTTGCTATAAAGATATTGTTGCTTCCTTTCCAATCTGTGTGCCTTTTATTTCATTTTCTTGCTTTACTGCACTGGCTAGGATTTCCAGTAAAAGGTAGAAAAAAAGTGAGACTGGACATTCTGGATGTGTTTTGAAGATAAAGTTAATAGGACTTCCTAAAAGATTGGAGTTTAGTGATTATTATGAAAGCTGACTTTCCTTTGCTGGAGAGTCGGTGCCCACAGAAGGGGCCTGGGGCCTCAGCAGGGATGATGGGGATGGTCTGCAGGTGGTGGGAGTCAGAATGTTGTCAGGGGGCCCCTGCTGAGGTGGGTGACAGGAGACTTTCCTCTGCATCTTCCGTCTTCCAGTTGGGCTTAAACGTGAAAGGACTCAGAGGATTTCATGTGATTTTCTTTTTTGAGGAGGGAAGACAGTCTAAAGCCGATTTTGGGATCAGCCCCCAAGTAGGGGGGTTAGCACTCCTCTGTCGCTCAGTCCCAGATTCCTAGTTTTGGGCGTCTGTCCCAGGCAAGAAAGAGCCCTGGATTTGGAGTATGGAACCTGGGTTGGAATCCTGGCTCTGGAAATGCTGTGTGACCAGAGGGGAGTCCCCAGGTGGGCCTGAAGCTCCACCACCACAATAATAATAACAATGGCCATAGCTCTCAAACCCAACTGTGTGCCAGGCTCTAAGTACCTTACTTGTAGCAGTTCATCTTCCCAAGTACCTGTGAGTCCCATTATCCTCATTTTAGTAATGAAGGCTTCGTGGTGAGGTGGGGGAGGGGGCCCGACCCCCTCTTCTGCGGGCACTGCCTGTCCTGTTTTTCTCCTTGTGCCACCTGCCCCCAGAACTGTCCCCACCATCCTTCCCACCACCTGCCCCGCACCAGCGGCGTCAGGCCCTCTGCCCGGGCTCCCACACACCCATCCCCCGAGCTCCCCCAACCAGGGACCATGTCTTGCTCCTCCCCACAGCCCGGCATCTAGCGAGGGACTGAGCAGCCACGGGAGCATCAGTGAATCTCTGGCCTGAATGCACAGCTCGGGCCGCAGCCTGGGTTCCAGACTGTAGACTTAATTGTGGGCGCTGGCCCACCCTTGGGGGGTCACCAAGAAGGCCTCCGGCCACGAGGCCTTCACTGCGGAGGGACGAAGCCCCAGGCCTGAAGGCATCTTGGAGCGGGCTCCTCCCCCTGCGCCACCACCAGCCGGCCCCAGGATGCTCCAGGAAGTGCGACGCATGACACTCGCCCCCACCGCCACCGCCCAGAGAAGGGACCATTGTGTCCGAAGGGTTAACAAGGGATGAGGGATGCGAGGAAGGGGCCTTTAGCCATGATGCCCTCTGACCTTTCATAAATCAGAGGGGCTGGGGGCGAGGGGGCTGCTTGGCAGGACTTGGTGGGGTGGGGGCTTAGAAGCAGCTGCGCGCGACGTTGACATTGTTCCCACCATTCTAAGTGCAACAAATCCCTCTATTGTGTTCCTGGTTTATCTGGTTCCTCTTGTTTATTAGCAGGGCTCCTTTGGCAGCGGTTCCAGCCCTGGGCGGGTGGAAAGAGTGCTGGCACGCACCGCGGGGGGAGGGGGCCGGGAGGGGGCCCGCTGTCAATGCCCGCATTGTTCCCGCGCTTTTTGTTTCTACTGTAATGACATGTTGGAAGAGAGAGAGGAGAAAAAAAAGACGTGAGCTGGGGAGGGAAGAGGAGGGCAGAAAAGAAAGAGGGAGCAAGGGCCCTGGTGTGGATTGATGTCTGGGCCTGGGCGGATGTGCGGGCAGCTGGGCAGTTGGGTGCTCGGAGCCAGGCCGGGGTGTGGGCGATGGGGGGGAGGGGGCTGCCGCGCGAGGGGCCATCAGCCCCCCACCCCAGCCTCTGCTGCCTGGCACCAGGTCCCCCCACCACCCTCCAGCCCTCCTTGGGCATCTGTGGGGCCGTGCCAGAGTGGGGCAGGTGCCGGGGTCTGGGGCCCGCCTCCCAATGCGCCCCCGCCTGGCTGTGCCACCCAAGGCAGGCTGCTTAGCCTCTCTGGGTCTTGGTGTCCAAGGTCTGCCAAATGGGGGTGTTGGGGTAGAGAGGCTTTTCTGGCATTTTGGCGATGGTGGCGTGTCCTCCCCAGTTCTGGGTCTATACTTCTGAGCCTGGGGCAGAGCGGGGACGCACGCACACTGGACACAGGGCCCAGCACAGCTCCCAGAGTGATAGTGCCTGATGCCAACTTGGCAAGGCGGGTCTCACCTCCCATTTAGGTCTAGTCCAGACAGCGAGGGGGTTGCAGTGAGAGGAGCCTGAGCAGGGGAGGATGGAGCTCTGGTCCCACCTGGCTGGGGTGGGTCTCTCCCTCACCAGACGGCAGGACTCTGGGGCCCTTCCACTCCAGGCGGCTGGGTTGAGGGGGAAGAGCACAGGGCACCTGAATGAGGCATGACGCGCCCTGGACATCTCAGAGCGGGCAGAGCCCTTGGGGTTCGTGGCCCTGTCCCTGCCACTTCCCGTAGACCTCTCTGGAGCGCCAGGCAAAGAGTCACCCACCTCTGCTGGCACACCTCCACTGACCTGGAGCTCCACTCTCTGCACATGGCTCCTTCTGTCCTTGCCCAGCCCGGACTGGGAAACTTCTTCCTAAAATCTGTCTCCCTGTAGCTTCTACTTTCTGGTTCCGGGGCTATTCGCTGGAACCCTGTGGAACAAGTTAAGCCTCCCTGAGAACCCGTTTCCCTTACCTATAAAAAGGGAATGATAGGGTCCCGCCTGCCACGTGGCAAAGGCCGTCACGTGGATTGCGTGGAAAGTTCTCCAGATCTCCTCAGACTTCAGCTAGGGCTTTCTGTGCTTGCGAAAGGAGTGAGGAGCATTCCTCGTGTGAATAAAGCCAGAGTATTTTGAGAAGATTGGCTTCGGGCTCGGGCTCAGGCTCAGGCTGTAATCAGGACTAGCACTCAGACTGGGGCCAGTGTCTGAGCTCAGACTGTACCTATGGTAGAAGTTTATTCAGGAAGAGGGTAAGGGCTCCATTTGGGGTCAAGATCAGGGCTTGGGCTAGGATAAAGGTTCAGTCTGGGATCAGGATTAGGGTTGTCTAGGTTTGGAACAGGGCTCAGTTTATAGACAGTGTCAGATATGGTTTATTCAGGAATTAGGGTAATGGCTCAGTATGGGGTCAGGGCCCAGGCTGTAAGCCGGTTGTGTATTTTTGGGGTCAGGATCAGGGTCCAATCTGTGGCCAAGATCAAGGCCTATAAGCATTCATTTTGGGTTTAGGATCAGGCTGCAGGCTGGGGTCAGGGTCAGGCCTTAGGTCCAGGCTGGGGTCAAGGCTTAGGCTATCACCCAGGTTTGACAGACAATGTGTAGCTAGGGTCAAGGCTCCATCTGTGGCTGGGCTGGGGTCAAGGCTCAACTGTGATGTGGGTCAGGACTCAGTATGCGGCTCTGTCTTTGACTGTTCATTGACCTGGGCTGGAGCTGAACTCCTGAATGTGCATTTTTTGCATCTTCCTCCCTAGTAGCTCAGTCCACCGAGGTTTTCTTGTCTGACTCCAATCTCTGGAAGTCTGTTGCAGACCTGGCAGCATCGGGGTGTGCCAGGAGAGCACAGCAGGGAGGGGATGAAGAGGAGGGGGTCCTGTCTCTAGGTAGCCCCCAGAGGAGGGCAGGCAGTGCTGTGTGTGAGAGGGACTGGGGGTTGGACACAGGGGACAGGTTGGCCCCTGAAGGACCAGGATGGCCTGGGCAGGTGAAATCCTGACTTTCCAGGGGGCGTGAGAACCAGGCCACTGGTCTGGGGCTTGCCAACAGATTCTCGGGGGTGGGATGAGATGGAGGAGGGTAGAACAGGAGAGAAAGAGCGATCTTGGGGGCATCTGGCCCTTCCTTCCGTGCAGACATGCTTTGTATGGTGACACATGAACGTGTGTGTGGACATGTGTGTGTGCCCGTGTATGCTGGGAAGGTGACTGTGGGCATGGCTGTGTGGATGGACTTGTGTCTGGGGGTGAGCTGATGACTGCACATGTGTTTAGGGGCACGTGTCTGGCTGGGGGCAGGGGCAGGATGACGCCAGGCTTCGTCCTCTCCATCCCTCTGTCCCCTGAGCTGCTGGTGCCCCTTCTTTAGCCCCTAGCCTCTGCATCCACTGAAGGTCCTGGCCGTCCCACATGACTGGCATCTGAGCCCTGGATGACCCATCAGCTGAGAGCCTGTGACCCACTGCCTGGCAGCAGGAGACATGCAGGGGCAGCCCTCTCTGGAACTGTTCCTCACCAAGGACTTCTTCAGGAGGTGATGGGGAAGGGGGATTCCTGGCTTGGGGGTCATAACCACACACCGTCCCTCCCAGATGGCTCAAGCACAGCTAACACTGATGCTGTCCCCAGGAACCTACCCTGGGAAGTAGAGCAGCCCCAGGCAAGCAGAGAGCGGACCTGTGGGAGGGCCACTGTGGGCACAGAGCGGGGGCACCAGCTGAAGTCAGGCCACTGTCAGGGAGGAAGGTGGCACCCCCTCATCATGTTGGGGGACCCCACTGCAACCTTGGTCTTCAGCAACCAGATCTGCAGATTCCTGCTACCCCCTTCCTGCAGGTCCCTTGCCCCTGTTTTGTTTTCCTGGTTCTTTCCTGCTGTCACCATCCAGGGGCTAAAGTGGGGGAAGATGCCCCTTAGAAGTCTCTACCCCCATCCTCTGTGTCACTCTGTGTTCTCCTCCTCCTCCTCCTCTCAGCATCTCCCACCCCTTGGGGTTCCTTCTGGTCTGCAGGTTGGCTGCATATTCACAAACCCGGGAGTCAGGGCCATTGTAGGGTGTCAGCGCCAGAAGGGGCCCGAGTCCCGACCCTCACGTGCGGCCAAGTGAGGGCTCCTTGGTGTGTGTTGGTCCTGCCCTGCACTCGCGACCATGTGCTGAGCCCTACTGTGTACCAGGCCACAGAGGAGGGGCCTCAGGGAGCCCTCTGCTGGAAGGCTGGGCTAGGGGAGCCCCGGGCTGCAGAAAGGGACCTTGAACTAAGGTGTGTAGATAAGGAGGAACCGGCCAGGTGTGGTGTGTGTGTGTTGTGGGGGGCGGCCCTGAACTTGCTGACAAAGAGGGAATTTGGCCATGGGGCCGCCTTTGCCAAGCTCTTCCTCATGGCTTGGCGAGAGGCTCTCCGGTAGAAATAGCGCAGTTGTGGGGTTAGACCGAGGGGCGTTGAGTCTTGGCTCTGACACTTTCTAGCCCCGTAACCTGAAGAAGCTCACAGACCCCTCTGAGCCTCGTTTCATCACCTGTAAAAGCGGGGTGCTGGCCTCTGTCTCCTGGGAGCCTCGTGCACATGATTGCCTCACTTGTCCCATCTGTTAAGGTGGGGTCATAAGACTTTACTCCTCCCGTGGTCTAAGCAGCTAATTCGGACACATGGGCACAAAAGTCCCAAACTACGTACAAATATTCCTCACATCAGAGTTCATTTGGCTCCCGAATCTGGATGGCAAGAATCAGACGCGAGGGTTTGGTTCCTGAGGCCATCAGTGAAATATGTATGGTTCCTGAGTTTTGGATAGTGAAGGATATAAAAAAGAGTTTCTCAGAGTCTAGTTAGTTCCTAAATCAGACCTCGAGGCATATCTGTTTGCCTATTTACAAGTTACATACAAGTACTACAATATTAAATACACTTGTCAGGTAGAAGTTTCAAAATAATGAAGGTAAGAATAAACGTGGAAAGAAATGCTGACATTTTCTTTTTGCACCTCCCTGGGTCCTTGTGTGCTTCCCCTGGGGATGCCCCACCCCTCTCAGAACATTCCTGGTCTGGGGTTGGAGGTGCTGAGGGGTTACCCCAGAGGGCAGGAGGGCCCTGGGGGAACCTAGTCAGAGCAACACCATTTGTCACCATGCCTCTGTCCCACTCACCCCCAGCGCTGGGCCTGGGACATGAAGAAGGACACGTGGCATCTGTCTGAAGGAAGTTGGTGACGTCTATGCAGCCGGTCCGCAGAAAACAAAACTTTCTTAAAATCTAAAAAGAATTTCCTCAAAAAAGTATGTCTGATGCCTTTTCCCCCCAGCGATAAAATCGACACAACATGACATTTACTGTTTTAATCAAGTTCAGGGGCATCAAGCACATTCTCGGCATTGTGCAACCAGACCGCCGTCCAACTCCAGAACTTTCTCATCTTCCCAAACTGACACTCTGTGCCCCTTGAACACTGACTCCCTGTTCTGCCCCCCGCTGCAGCCCCTGGCAACTACTGTCCTCTTTTGTCTCTCTGAGTTTAACTGCTCTAGATACCTCATCTGAGTGGAATCATACAGTATTTGTCTTTTTGTGTCTGGCTCCTTTCGCTGAGCGTAGGTCTCCAAGGTTCGTCCGTGGTGTGGCAGGTGTCAGAATTCCTTTCCATTTTATGGCTGAGTGATACCCCACTGTCTGTATACACATTTGGTTTATGCATTCACCTGTCGATGGGCGCTTGGGTCCTTTGTACCTGGTAGCTATTGGGAGTGATGCCACTATGAACACAGGTGTACAAATACCTCTTCCAGTCCCTGCTTTCCCTTCCTGGTGCCTTTTATAGAGAGAAGTTTTTAACAAGTTCTCCCATGGCTTGGGGTCTAGTGATCACGGTTTTGTAAACTACAGCGGGTCGCGAGGACTGTCAGAGCCGTATATGAGAGCACGAGACGCCATGGGGCTGCAGGAAGGGAAGGGGAGGGACACGTGGGGGGATGACTTGGTGGCTGTCTCAGAATTCCCCGGACTCAGCGTGGAAGGCAAAGCACGGAGGGTGGAGGGAAGGTGGTGCAACTGAGCAGGTGATTTGGTCTGGCTGAGGAGGGGGCATGGAGGAGCCAAGCAGCAGGAGAGAAGCAGGGAGAGCGGGAGAGAAGCAGGGAGAGCGGGAGAGAAGCAGGGAGAGCGGGGCAGGGACCAGCCCCTGGAGGGCGTGGCTGACCCAGATGATGAATCTGGGTTTCTCCTGGAGGGAAGAGGAGGCCATGAAGATCCTCCGATAAGTGTGGGAGGAGCACTAGGCAGGACTTCTCCCCGGGGTCTGACTCCACTGCCACCTTGGACGTGGGGAGGACAGGTCGAGCTGAGGCCTCCACCTCACAGCGCGTTTGTCTCTTCTTGGTGTCTCCTGGTCCCTTGGAGGTCCCTGGTCTCTTTTCCGGTCCTTCCAGCCACTTGTGAGCACATTCTCCAGGGTGCTTGACCTCTTCATGCATCACACATTTTGAGGTTTAGCTCAATTCCCTTTCCCCCCCAAAAAAAACCCATTCCATAAGCGATCCCTTCACTGCAGACACACGTGCACACACACTCATTCACACACTCATGTGTTCACACCCACGCACACATGCATTCATGCACTCACACATGTACTTGCACACACGCACAACACACCCATTCTCATGCACGCACACACTCACTCACAGCATACACCCCCACACACGTGCACTCACACACACGCACAACTCGCCCCCTCCTGCTTGCACACACGCACAACGCCCACACTCATACACATACCTATGCATGCAGTCACAGCACACACACTCACACGGTCTCCCTTCAACCCTGTTCTCCCATCTGTCTCATTTCCAGACTTCTCTGGGGGACCAGAACTAACATTTACTGAGAATCTCCAGGGTGTCAGACAGTGGGTGTTGGCTCTTTCCACTTCTCCTCGTGACAGTCTTCCAGGATGGGTATCATCACCCCATTATACAGATGCACAAACTGAGCCTACGGAGCTGATGGTCTCACAGGAGCTGGTGGGGCCCAGGGCCCTAACTCCTTTTGGCACTTTTCATGGTAGCTCAGTGGTTTTTCTGTGTCATAAACTCACTGCGTCCAGTTGGCAATACCCCCCAGGGTCAGGACCCACGTCTGCTCCTTCTCCTTATCTCCTACATGGGCTGGAATTCTGAAGATGCTCAAGGAATTCTTTTAAGCCAGTGACTCCGAATTCTGATGTCGAGGGGTGGTCTCAGAAGCCCCTGTTGTGTCCTCGTGCTGTTCCGCTGCCTGGAACGTTCCCCCTCCCTCTCAGGGCCCAGCCTGGGGGCTCTTCTTGGGAGCCACCCCCCAGTACCCTCTCCTCCGTGTTTACGTCACTCTGTTTGGAACTCAGCTCTCTGTGGGACTGTCATGATACTTGTTATTTACTCTTCTGTCTTCCCTGTGGGACTAGGAGCTCCGTGGGGACAGGGCTGTCTCGGATTCACCTTTGGGGGCCCAGAGATGCTCCTGAGGCCGACACCGCGCTGGCTCCTGGAGAATGCGCCCAGAATGGAAGCACCATGCACATGTGTTTGGTTCAGTCCCCTGCCTAAGGGACCTCTCCCGCTGCTCCTGGGAGAAGGCTTTTGTGGAGGACTCCCTTCGGGTGCCTCTGCCTGCATCCTCCCGTCGCCCCCCAGGCACATCGGCCTTCAGAGGTACCAAGCTGGGGAGGAGGTGGGGCTTCGTCGGTGCCCTTGTCCATCCTCCTGGGCACTGAAACTCGCAGGGGGCAGCTTGTGAGCAGGGCCACCCCACTTCCTTCTCTCTCCTTTATGCCCAGGGCAGCTGACTTGGATGACCTTGGGGCGCCAGGACCCCTTCCCCTTCAGCAAGGACAAGGCAGTGGGTGCAGATGAAAGCACCCAAGAGAGCTGGGATCAGCCCTTTCTCTGCAGCCAGCCAGCACTCACTCTGCCGTCGTCCTGCCGCCTCTCTGGGCCTCAGTTTCCCTTTCTGTAACACCAGGGGTCGTCTTCCCGACCCCGGGGCCCTCCCCAGCTGTGCCCTCCTGCACCTGTGAAATTCTGAGAGCAGAGGAGGGAAGGCAAGATGGCCCCTCTTTCCCCGCCGCCTCTCCCTGTCCCCCAGGGTCACCCCAAAGCCTCCCCCTCCCCCGACTCCCTGGAACTTCCCTGCAGCTGCAGGCCTGGTGAGACAATTGGGTGTTTTAGAGAAATACATTTTTGGGCTAATTTGCCATGCATAAGTGTTTCTCTTACCCTTTAAAGGCGGAGAACAAAGAGGCCTTTCTGCACCCGGGCAGGCTGCTGGGGAGGGGACCGCAGCTGTACCGGGCCGGCGACCCTCCTCCCTCCCTCATCCCTGTGAGCGCCCCGCCACGCCGCCCACCGCCCCCCAGGAGAGACAGCCTGGACTTTCCCAGCCTCCCCCAACCCCCTGCCCTGCTGCCTCTGAGGCCCCTCTGGTCCTGCCCCACCCCAGCCCCCACCCTCCCACCAGCTGCCCCAGGCGAGAGGGAAAGTGTGCGTGGGTGGGGGGATGGATAGATGGATGGGGAGGGGGCATGCCCAGAGAGAGCAGCTCTCTACGAGGCTCGCCAAGGTGGTGATGGCCTGGCTGGGTGTGTGCCAGAGCTCCTGGGGGTTATGGGGCGTAGTCACGGGGTGTGGGATGGTGTCAGTCATCACTAGTGTCCAGGGGGTCAGTCAGGTGAATCACTAGTGTCCAGGGAGGATGTGGCAGTCACTCCATCCATTCATTCATGCGTTCATTTGTTCGTTTGTTCGTTCATTCAGCTAGTCTCTGCTGTGTTCCAACCATGTGTGGGTCTCAGGGCACCCCCATCCTGGAGGAACAGAGAGGTGCTACTGATTATAGCAAAGCACCTGAGGTTCTTGTATTTCTTTCTTTCTTTTTTTTTTTTGGTTCTTGTATTTCTTAGAGGAGGCGGCACCTACGGGAGTGGCTGCACGGGGATAAGGCCGTGGGTGCAGACGTGTGAGGAGTAGGTGCTTCATCCTGCCTGGTGCAGAATGAGGGGGCCGGGGCTTGGTAGCCGCTTCCTTGTTGGTGGTGAAGGTCCTGAAACTGGCAGATTCAGCATTACGCCCTCCTGGGTCACAGTTCACCATCCTCCCGTGCGCTCAGGCCATTCCTTCCCCTCGAACTCCCTTCTCTCACTCTTGGCTGTTCTGAGGACACACCTCTCCCCTTCTGGGGGCCTCTCCTAGCTCCCCATCCTCCTCCATCAGGGCTGGGCCCCTCAACTGTCCTGTCTGTCTCCCCCAACAAATCCAGAGAGCCCCCGTCTGCACACACATCCACACACCTGCACGGGGTCCTGCTCTCCCTCTGTCTGCACTTTCCCCCCATGTTCATGGGCTTACTGAGGGCAGGGGCCTTGGGTGTCTTCCCAGCACCCAGCACAGGGTGAGTGCACAGCCCTCCATGCTCAGGAAAGGAGCATACAGGGCTGGGCACCCCTCGTCTGTATTCAGAACAGCAGCGGCACTGCTTACTGCCTGCCAGACCCTGCAGGGTGACATCTGTTCACTCACCTGGTTGTAACACCTTTATAAGGTAGGCGCTATTACCTACCACTGTTCTACAGGGAAACTGAGACACAGAGAGGTTGAGGTTTTGCTAAAGATCATCTGGCTCCCAGGGGAGGAGGCATGAGAGTCCTCGCTCTAAATCGTTGTATCTGAATCACGCAAGAGCCACCTGCTCCCTGGAGCCTTCTGGAATAGACTAACAGACGCTGGATTCTCCTTCTGATGTCCTCCTGCAGCTTGCTCTGTTCCTTCCATCCCTGGGCAATGCCCCTGCCCTGTGTGCACGTGAGAGATGGTGAGACACTGAGGTTGAATGGCAGGGTGTCGCCCCACGAAGGAGCTGTGAGTGGCTTGGGTTCCTTAGAAGGACGAGGCCAGCCAGGGTGGGAGACCAGGGCTGCTTGCTGTCCCGCTGCCACAGGTGTGGGCATGACCTTTGGTCCTTGGATTTCAGGACCACCAACAAGGGCTTCGGAGCCCCTTCCAACAATGTCACGTGGTTCCCTTGCAGTCAACATACCCGAGGGCATGAGCGACACCTCCCAGAGCTCCACATGTCACAGGGCGACTGATACGGGCTTCACGACCCTCTGTGTGCGTGTAGTGTGCATGCTTCTGCACGCACACGCATCCCTGCCCGGGTATGCCTGTGTGTGGGTTGGCCTGCGCACGTCTGACTTGGGGTGCTCAGGAGATGAAGGAGAAGGCAGAGATTGAGAGAGGACGGTGGCTGCATCTTCACCCAGAATTCTCTGTGTGGGATCGAGAGGAAGGGGCAGCCCTCTACCCCGCACAGGCTCCCGAACATACAGATCCTCTGAAGGCTGGAGCAACACAGGCAGAAAGTGAGATGTGGCTGTTTGCCCAGGGGGGTTGAGGGGGAGCCCCGCTGCGATGGGCAGGCGACTCTGGGCCTGTCTCAACAGGGACTCTGAGACTCACCAAAGGCTCTGCAGGCCCTGACTGCTCGCTCCATCGCAACTCTTGATGGGCACTTATGGGTGCTGACTGCGTGCCTGGCCTGGGGGCAGGGCAGGGGTGAGTGGGCAAGGCTTCTGCCCTTTCAGAGGAACCTAAAGTCCGAGAGGAAAGAGTGCCCAGGAAAATGGAGTTTGGGGATCTGAGGCGTGAGTGGTGTGGTCTGTTGGGTGTGTATGTGGGGGGTGAAGGCTGCCGAGGAAGGCTGGGAGGTTAAGGAGGGAGATTTGAAGGTTAGAGACTGATGGGGAGAGGGAGGGCCCCTATTCACAGAATCCTAGAATGTGAAAGGTCTTTGGAGATTACCTCATTCAAGTCTAGTTTATACAGAGGGAAACTGAGGCCCAGGGACAAGGGATGACTTACCCAAGACAGTGATGGAGTCAATCCGAGTCCATTCAACAAGTAGTTCCTAAGCCTATGCGGCACCAGGCAGAGGACTCAGCCTTAAATAAGGGCCTTTCTTGCCTCAGTTGGCCGTGGTCTGCTGGGGCAATGGACACACAGACCGATAAGCACCACCCAGTGCCACGATTGTGACCATCAAAGTGTGTACGAAGCAGCAGAGTGAGGGGTATGGAGGACTATTATCTAGGCAAGACCTCTTGGCAGAAGCAGCATCTGGGTTGGGCTTTGAAGGATGAAGAGGAGTTCAAAAGGCTGAACAGGGAAGGAAGGGATTAGTTTCCAGGTGACCAGGCATTTTGAGTTGGTTTCTGTTTTTGCCACCCCCGAAGGCAGCCACCAGTCTGTCCTCCATGGCACCCCATTCTCTTGGAGACCCGAAGCAGGCTGGGATGGCAGGGGGGCTTTGGTGTGTTTCTGTCCTGAGGCAGGGGAATGGATTCCGGGTTTCCCAGGGCCCCAGGTTTAGCCTGGTTGCAGGGCCTTGATTCAACCCCCTTCCATTCAGTCAGAGAACATGGACTGGGCACCAATTATGGCTAAACCTTACCCAGTGGGGAGGATTTCAAGAGGCAAAGAGGAAAGAAGAGCATTCCAGAAGGGAACAGCATGAGCAAAGGTGTGGTTGCTGGAAAGCAGGGGTTTGTTCAACAAGTATCTTCTATTTTGTGTGGCTGGCGCAGGGGGCATGAAGGGAGCAGTTCAAGACGTAGCTGGAAAGATTGGCTGGTGCTGGAGCTGGAAGGTTCTAGGGAAGAGTTTGGGTTTTAATCTGTGGCAAGAGGGAGATGCTAATGGATTTTGAGTAACAGCAAGTCCCTCAAGAGCCCAAGACTGGGCTGGGAACTTAAGAGAACCCAGAAGCCTCCCGGGGAGCCAGGAGATGGCAAATGCTTAATAACCAGCTCTGCTGGGGGAGAGGGTGGCCATCCAGGGATGGATTTCCACAATGTAAAAGCTCCCACCAGGGCCAATTTCAAGCTTCCCAGGTGACATCAATAGGCTTGGAATGTTCCAGAAAATTTAACAGTTGGCTCTCCCATGCTGGTATGAGTTGACTCCTGCACACCGTGTCCCCCAGGGTTATCAGCTGTAATTCCCAGTGCTCAGCCCCCTTCTCTCCAGGTTCGCTTCCAGTGTGACCTTCACGTGGGAGCCCAGGGATGGTGACCTACCTGAGAGGTTTGTCCACGCTCAGGGGGTTCTGAGCTCCCAGGCCCTGTGGGTTTGAGCCTTGGCTCAGCCGGTCCCTTGCTGGGTGACCCAGGCCCACCCCTCATTCCTCTGGGCTGACTTGCTTTGTGGGGTCCTTCTGGGATGAGCTGATGCTGCGGAGGGGAAGTGTGGGTGGCAGAGGACGGAGCCGGGGAGGGCTCGGGAGCATTGGCGACCGCTCCCTGGGGGTAGGGACCAACCCCACCCACCCGTAGCTCATTCACCTGAAAATCTGTCAGATCACCAGCTAGCACTGGGGCAGGAGGGGTCCTGTGAGGTGAGGGGATGGGGGACAGGGTTGGGGGCATTGAGAGCCACATGGGCTCTGGGCTATAGACCACCAATGCCTGAAGCCCTGCCAGGGGAAAGCGGGTTTCTGGGCCTTGATATAAGTTGGTTCCTCTGCCTGGTGCCACCCTCTCCCTCCCCATCTCTTGGCAAACTCCTACTCATCTGTCAGGCCTCAGCTTCAGCGCACCTCTTCCAAGAAGCAGGGGCTAAGAGCACAGGATCTCTGAAGCCCTGGGTAATCTTAGTCTTTC